AGATGCACAAGCGTCTTAGGTTACAACACGGCCATGTCAGTTAATTTCTCTAACCATCGTTTGGACTGATCCTGAGATCCACAACCGAGACCCTCAACGAGACAATCGTTGTCTGGTCCTACCGTCGCATGAGTTGTAATGAGTACTAGCCACATGTGTTAGGTTGTCCCCTGATGTGCAACACCATTTTACCTGACAGTGAGGCTTTTGACGTACATCCTTCAAATGTTGACTCGATTACTAGCTTGCTTCGCAGCATCTGGTCGGAGTAGCGTATCTCTTTATCCTGGGGTAAATCATTGATCGTTCCGATTTTCACGAAGGGATCACGCAACGATTGCACAAACCACCGCCGGATAAGTTTAGTTCCGATCATCACAAAAATGTTAACTTCTGTTATACTTCGCTGCCTGACACCCTCAAGGGGGACGATAATTCGCAAACACCAAGCAGGCTTCCGACCAGGTCACGGTTGCATCGACCAAACCTTTATTCTGCGTGAAGTCCTCGAATCGCGCCGCCCTCATCATTGACCAACAGTCGCTGTGTTCCTTGACNTTCCTTGACCCTAATGGGTGCACTGTTTCGCAAAGGTGAATCTATTTCGATCATTGTACCTGCATACCTCAGGGTCTACGGTGGGCTAAGCAAATCGTTCGAAACCAGGAGCGATATTCGTCAAGGGTGCCCTATTTCGCCATTCCTATTCAACTTCGTGATAGACGAAATATTAGAGAACGCACCAAATGGTCTCCAAAATGTTGGTGTTGGTGGCAGTTGTGCGATTTAGATTACTCTGTACACCTCCAAAGATTGGATGTCGTCTACTCCGGCCCATGCTCGATTGTCAAGGATTAGTTATGGGGGACTGTTTCTTCTACTTAGGTAGTTGCGTGACAAACGATGGTAGCGTAGTTATAAGAAGTAATCGCCCGCATTTCCAAGGATAGAACAGCTTACTCAGAACAGAAACACCTTTGGTGCAGACGTAATGTTTCAATGAAAGGTTGCGTGTATTGCTCCAGTGTGCAGTTAGTTCTGCTTTACGGTTGCGAGACCCCTAATTTGCGCGTGGAAGATACTGTCTAGCAGTCTTCCATTACCAATGTTTGCGTAGTTTGGCGCGGGTTGGATGGATGGAGCGTCTAAACGACTCTGGGTACTGATTCGGTGGAAAGCTGTTTATCACAGAATTCAGATGAGTAGGCTTCGCTGGTTAGGGCACGTACTACTTTTGCCCAGCAGTCGTCCACCTCATCGCGCCATTTTCGATTTGCGACTCCAGGTTGGTGATGAGACATGAAGAAATGCTCAGAGTGGTTAGGTAGAGTAGGTGTCTTTCAGATTCTTGTTGTCATTTATTATCAGGCCAGACTACGAGATTCGGTTCGGGTTCCCTTTTACAGTATATCTTCGGGTAAAAAAGTTGTGCAGTGATCAGAAGTGCCGA